CGAGGTCTGATGGGAACTCACAACATGAAGTAATGAAAGCCAATGAGGATTGAGAACAATCTCCTCATGCTCTACGTGGGTCAACTGAACCAACGTTTCTGTCACTGTAAATTCGGTTTGGTATTTCACACAAGCCCTTGCAGGTAATACAAACATCTCAGAGGGATGTTCTTGCAGGAAATTATGTTAGACTCTTTTATAGTCTATAAGAGACAGAAAATCAAAGTACCTGAAACAGGATTTAAGAGTGAGATGATGATTTCAAGTCATGCAAAATGGCAAGTTACTGTTATTTCTAAAATAGGTTGGTCGCACACATTTGTTTTGGTCAATTTCCAAACCCATGAGAATTATAAGAAAAATCAAATCCATACGGTTCTGACTTATGTACACCCATTTTTCAACAACTTAGACAACTGAATGTCCAAAACCTATTTTTTTAAGAGACACCATTTAACAGCCAGAATCTAACACAGACTGAAGTTGAACCAAGTATGTTCAACCTGTAGGGTCTAAAGAACCCTAGAGGGATAGAGAGAAGTTCTTGACACCATGAGACATGAATGGTTTTATCCTGGAATAACACACCTATGCCAGAGTTGAGCTCCCACTCAACCCGAGAACGTAGTGAGATTGTCTCTATCAGTCTAGCTTCCCCACATCTAATATTTTATTTTAGGTTTTCTGGCCTAATGGCATGAGAATTCTGCAGAGCTATCAATTTTCGGCGAGAAAAAACAGTTAAGCAGTTGTACTTACAGAGAAGACAGAGGTAAGAATGGCAACAGACATTCCCAGGGCAAGGCCTTTAGTGGACCGCGCGGCCCGTCTCTGCCTTTTGTGTGTGCGCATGCGCGAGGGCGTACACACTCGCACGTGCGTGACACAAACACATGAATGGGGAAACCAGGGGACCCAGTAAGTTTAAGACGTTAAATAGGACAAATAAGCCCTAGTTTCATGCAGACAAAATAGGGATTGGCTAGATGACCTGTTTTAAGGAGCACTTTGCAAAAATATTTAGAAAACTAAATCAGAAAACAACCAAATAAAACTCTGAATTCCTAAAAGACAGGGACGCAACACCATGAGGCGATAGAGAAAAAAAACTCCGTGCAGCCACCAAACTCCCAAGTACTTAATTCAGTGCAGTTTTTAAAACCGACAGATTTCACAACCAAGGGGGACTCATTATTACTCTGTTTAATGTTTGTTTCGATCTGAAGAGCTAAGTAGGGACCACCTTGGCAGTCCACTGAGGTCTTCGTCAGGCTCCAACGTAAGAGCAGAGAGTTCAGTCCTCAAAGGAAACTCCCCGGGGCAGCAGAGATATTTAGTGATCTGGCCAGGAAGGAGCTTCTCCCTCTATTAGAGAGAGCTTTACAGAAGTCCTACCAACCACTGTACTGCAAGAGTTCCTTGGGTGTTCTTGAACCTAAACTCCTAGACTCAACAAGAACACCTAGAAAAAAAAAAAAAAATCAAACACATACCAGTCTCTACTTTCCCCTTCCCTCCAACATCCCCCTGGCCAAGGCAAGGTGTTTGTCAGGGGCTTGGCAACTTAGCCTTAGCTCACCGGCTTGTGTTACCCAGAGAAGTCACTGCTATTTAGCCTGCAGTCTTTCTTTCTCTTAGCCAAGTGATAGAATCTCAAAAGATTCATCTGAAAAAGATGGCTCCTTTTGTGTGTGCAATGCTTATAACTATGATTACTAAGCATTTAAAAAGCATTCCAGGGGTGCCTGGGTGGCTCAGTCAGTTGGGTGTCTGACTTCCGCTCAGGTCATGATCCCACACTTTGGGGGTTCAAACCCCATGTCTGGCTCTGTGCTGACAGCTCAGAGCCTGAAGCCTGCGTCGTATTCTGTGTCTCCCTGTCTGTCCCTCCCCTGCTCACATTCTGTCTGTCTGTCTCTCTCTCAAAAATAAATAAAACATTAAAAAATTAAGAAGTATTCCAATAATACAGTTTCTGAAACAATAGACAGATAATGGAACACATTAGTAACTATGAAGAGAGCCAGTAATTCATGCCTGCCATTCTGTGCCCACATGCTAAAGCCTGATAGAGGGCACTCACTGCCCATCACCAGCCTTCTGGGTATGTCTGCCCCTACTGTTACACCTGCTCACTTAGCTAGGAGCCGCAGCATGACATAACTCAATGCGCTCAAACCACTCCTCAGTATCTAATCCCAACCTGCTTCTCCTGCTTTTTATTGGTAAAGGGTGACCATCTATCTTGTTGCTCAGTCACACTCCTTTCTCTTTGCTCTATCACTGCCATTACTCAAGTGGTCACCGAATCCTACTAATTTTGTCACTTACTTCTCTCTCCTCTACCCTCCATCACTATTTCTGTTTTAGTTCAGGACCTCTTGTCTAGATACTAAAATATCTGGTAATTAGTTTTCTTACCTCTTACTTCTTTCTCTTTTACTGTGCCTCCCAAACTAGCTTCCAAAATATAAGCCTTGCAAACAGTGAAATCATAAACACATCTGAAGAAAACAGGTAAATATTTTTATAAACTTGGTGAGCAATAAGCATCTCTAAACACGACATAAAACCTAGATGGCATAAATGGGGTTACTTAAAAAAATCTCCTATGACATAAAGAATGCTATAATCAGAGATTAAAAAACAACTGAGGAAAATATCTGCAACATAGAGAGTAGAGGACATGCTAATTTCCTTAATATACAAAAAGTTCTTACAACTCACTAAGAAAAATAAACCTATCTGCAAATCTGAAATAACATCTCATGTCCACCTCTTGCCACGCCAGGAGAGGAAAAGCTAGTGCAAATAATTATAAAGCTGTGACACAGGCAAGTGTCCTATAAAGTGTCCTAAAAAGACTAGGCTTTGAAAACTTGGTTAGATATTACTGGTAGCAAACCTGCTTCAAATGCCCTGCCTAGATTCAATTACGTTATACATCAACACTGAGATACCTTTAAGCAGTTGAAAACTGCCTCTGGACTTTCTTGTTTACGCCTTTGGAACACAGTGGGGCATGTTTGCACAGAACATATCATTCCCTGTAAAGCTAGAGGTCCTCTTTGCCCGCGTTATTAATGTTTTAGCTTTCAACCAGGAGGTTAAAGTCTTCGGGAACATTTCTCAACTCACACAGCACCAAATCTTATTATTCCATCAGCACAGTCTGGGCTGGGAGGCTAGAGCTAATGCCCGTCAGATGAAACTAATTGGCTTTTCCATTTTGACCTGAACTATGTGACAAAATAATATCCCCCGACAAGAAGGCAGAGTACCAGCAGGGTGACATTGCTGACATAACTGCCATAGACACTAAACTCCACCTAGGCACACGGTCATCCAAAACCAAGGTGTTAGAAGAATCCTAAATGCAAATGGTACAGGTGACTCTTTTTTTTTTTTTTTATGAAAGCTCGGGGGCACCTGGGTGGCTCAGTCAGTTGAGTGTCCGACTTCGGCTCAGGTCATGATCTTACGGTCCATGGGTTCAAGCCCTGCATCGGGCTCTGTGCTGACAGCTCTGAGCCTGGAGCCTGCTTCTGATTCTGTGTCTCTGCCCCTCCTCTGCTTGTGCTCTGTCTCTCTCTTTGCCTCTCAAAAATAAACAAACATTAAAAAAATTTTAAATGAAAGCTCAGATGAGATGGTAGATGGACTGCACCCAGAAAAAGAGATAATATTTGTTAGGGGAGTGAGTAATTCACGATGCTGACATAGTTTTTTATGTAAATCTGGAACACAAGCCACTTCACCTACTGCAAGACACCCAAGGAATCGGAGGCAAAATCTCTTGATGGTATTGACTGTCCATTTGCCAAAACAGAATTTATTTTTTTTATTAAAAAAATTTTTTTAAATATTTTAGTTATTTTTGAGAGAGAGAGAGACAGCCTGAGCAGGGGAAGGTCAGAGAGAGAGGAAGACACAAAATCCAAAGACAGGCTCCAGGCTCTGAGCTGTCAGCACAGAGCCCAATGTGGGGCTCGAACCCACGAACCGTGAGATCATGACCCTGAGCCGAAGTCGGACACTTAACCGACGGAGCCACCCAGGCGCCCCAGAATTTAAAAAATGAAGCTGAGACAAATCAATGGAGTGCTACCATGAGTAAATTTGGGGGAAACAACCGAAATTAAACCCAACCAAACAGTACTGGGAATTAGAAAATTTAACTGATTATTTCCAAGCCTTGAAAATGTAGGGCTATACTCAGGGGCTGATCATCAGAACCCCACCATTACACAAGAGATGGCCAGTGTCCGAACACAGCACTTGTTGAGAATCATGATACAGAAATAAATTTGATTTTCTAAACAGCTTAAAAAAGAGTTGGATTTTTATATTTCTGACATGCAATGGAATTGGAGAAATTCAAACCATGACCAATGGTTTCTCAAAACCCATTTGTTTCTATCCTTTGCCTCTGGTAAAATGAATAAAATATTCTCCCAATAAATCTAAAGGCACAGGAAGCCACTGATGATTTCATTCTGCGCTGCAGTGGGCTCAGTGGCTTTTGGAAACGAGCACCACATATGGAGATATACGATGGGACCCTTCGGTGACTTGAGGCTGCCAGAGGTGGCCAGGCCAGAAGTGCTGAACCTAAGGAGCATAGAACATGCCAAAAAGACCCAATCCCACCACGGACCTCCTTCTCTCTCCCTGGAGGAAGAGTTGTGCCTCACTTAAAGTGGTGAGTGCCAGGAAAGACTGTAGTGTTGCTTTTCCGGGGAGGATATCAGAAAGAAACAGAGAGAAACTGCAGGTCAGAAGGACAGAATACACGTTGCTGAAATAATACAAATCAACCTTGGCTTTGTCTCTGGCAGACCTAGGAGGGCCTCCTCCAAGGCCCAAAAGCTTATTTGCTAAATGAACGAACCAGAAGCCAAGAGCCTACTTAGAGACCTGCTTAAAATTAACAAGATTCTTCCCGCAGGCCCCAGTTTTTAAGAATACCAGTGTCAGGACAGAGAAATGTGGAGACTCACTCTGGGAAGCATAAAGCCCCTCCGCGGCTCTGTCTTCGTGCCCGTCGTAGTCCCTGCTGGACAGCTGCCTGTTGGCGGTCTCCAGCCGATCTGTGTGCAAAGAGGAAATGGTTACAAGGAAATGCATATGGATCTAAGACACCATCCAAACAAGAAATGACATTCGCAGAGATACTCAGGCAGGAGCCCCAAGCTGAGGAGCTCTGGGGGAGGGCTGGTGTGTTCCCAAGTACCCAAAGGAACGTCTTCACATGGCACGTTGGGTGCCTTCATGACATCTAATGTCAGGGTCAGCAGCTGGGGAGGCAGCCAAGCCCGGGTTCTGAGAAGAACTGCATCCCTCATCGCTGCCTTCGAGCCAGCAAACCTCTGTCTTGAAGTCCCTTTAAAGGGGTTAAGTCTCCTTAGCCTCAAACCCAGCCCTAGTCTATCCCTCACCACCAGCCCTGTGGTTAGCCAGGGACAGCTAACAAATGGAAATAAGAGTTCAATAAATACCAATTTTTTTTTAAAAAACTCAAAATGACCTAATGGATAAAGAGCCTAGCTACTGAGTTCCATGTCTGCTCAAACCAGTTGGTTAGTCTTCATTTTTTCAGTGAAACAACTCAGTCTAAGAAGTCTTTATTGGACGTACATGGTTCCCAAGACAAAAGGATTTGTAGGAATAGGAAAGGAAGACTCTAGGTACTGGAGACCGCCACCAGGCTGTTACTTTGACAGATAAGGCAATTGAAAAATGGTTTAGTTGACTGAAAGACAAGGAAATTTTTATGGGTGAAATCATTCTGTGTATGGGAGACTGCCAAGATCTGTTGCAGGAGGCTTCCAGGTCTCAGGGAGTTTATATATATCTACAGTTTGTCACAACTGCGGGCTTTTTCTTTCCCCTCCAAGGGGGATGCTGTCTAGCTCTGTCGTCTCTACTATATCTAGCAAGTGTTGAGTGGTGGCTTTCAAAGAATGCCACCAAATGACTCAGCCTGATGTGGGAAGGGTTGCACATTCAACATTGGTCTTTTCAAACATCCTCCTTTGTGTGGTCACAAATCACCGCTCAGCACTTTTATGTTATTATTTTTAAAATTATGAAGTTATGTTTTTATTTTGTTATGTTATTATTTTTAAGATTGTGAAGTTATGTTTTTATTTTTATCTTACTGAATAAATTTGCCATGGACGGTGAAGTAGTTTTAAAGCAGAGAAGGAGCTGTACACACACTCCCTCCCTTTCATGGGCTCATGCACAGAGGCCGCCATTTCTCAGGCCCAGTGTTGCAACCCCACAACCCACAACCTGCAAACAAGAAAGGAACAATCCTGCTCTTTGAGCGCCCATGCCCCAGGTGGTTGGACCTTCCAGGACTATTGGACACAGCATGGACCTGTAGCCAGGCCACCAATTGTAGGGAAGTCTAGGGCAGAGAGCAAGTGTGTGGGGCTGGACGTGCCTCGCAGGTCTCTGTTGAAATCGTGAAGTCTTCGGATCTCGCCTTCCAGTTTGTTTCTCATCGCCTTGTCCAGCGATTCTCGCTTGGTAGTGGACTTGACCAGGCTCTCATAGGCTTCTGAAATCCTCTGAAGTTCTTTTTCAAACTGAAAGAAAGAAGTGGCATGAAAGTAGGATTCCCAGCATGCCCACGGGTGCCTGTTACACTGATTTTTTTGACATTCGGAGTGTGAAGGCTCTGTCTTCGGTGCGGCCTGTCTGCCCCTCCAGTTGCACACCTCCCCAAACGTAAAATCAGTTCCACTCCCCTCTGCCCTCCAAGGGCCATGTCAGGACCGTGTAACACAGCAGGTTCACGAGGCTGGCTGGACAGCCCATTGTCACCTTATAGAAGTTTCTCTGTACAATTACCAGGAAAGGGTGAATGTGAACATAACTTCAACCTCCTATATTTTGTATAGCAATTTAGAATTATTTTTCTTCTCACTTTAGGAAAAGGAAAAGTATTAATGTACAGAAAAACTAAAGGACCACAACTAGAACCCACATTTCCAGGCTACAAGTGTAGGGCTCTTCCAGAGCCCCTCCTACCCAGCCCCAAAGGAACATCAAATCACACAAGGGAGGGATCATTACTCAGCATGTTGACCCTTTTGTCTATGAACTTGTCTGCGTAAGGACAAAGGACTCAGGTCTAATTATATATAAATGCACCAAAGAAAACCTCTTTATATGAAGAAATTGAAAGATATGGGGTTAAATCCATTCTTTTTCCATTTTTCACAAAGTCAAGAGCTGTGCCTTTAACCTCTGGGCGTCTGTAACAAGTAGCTGTACCTGCTCTAACAGGACTCACCTGTAACAGCATACTTTCCAGGTAGGTATCAACAACCCCATTCTATTGCTACGTAACATACATGCAGGGGAAGGGGACGTGGAACCTTGATGAACTGCTGATCGGAGCCGGAAACAGAGGCCCAGTGGGAAGGGTTGAAGCACTAGCACCCCTCACTGGGCACCAAGAGACCTGCACCATGTTTTTGGTCCCTCCACATGAGACCTGTCACCATGAGCCAGGCACCCTAACTGCCTGTACTTCAGCTGCTCTGATCAGAAAGTCCCAGCTGGGACTCCTATAAATAATGCATGTCCTGACATAACAGACATCTACTGCACATTTTCGATGTGTCCTGGTGCCAAAGATACAGAAATTAGTAAGATAATTCCTGCTCTTTGGGAGCTCACAGTCTAAGCGTTGGCCTCTCCCCAGACACGTGTGGGGATAAGGGGTGTGGTGGTTCTGTAATGCTCTGACAGCCTAGAGATAAAGTCATTGATTTTGCAGGGGTGAGAAATGGTTTCTTTAAAAAAGAGAGCGGCTTTTTAAAATGCGTCTTGAAGGATGCACAGGGCTTTGTCAAGCAGAAAAGGCCAAATGGCTTTGGTGTTGTCATCAGAAGACAGGGCGGGAGCCACAGCACAGGGCCATGAGAGAGAGCGCATGTCTCTGACAGGACAGTAGTCCAGGGATGAGAGCAAGACGTGAGGGTGGGAGAGAGGCCCGATGGAAGGACTTCAGGGGTGAGGGGGCGTTACAGGGCTAAGGTGGCCTGGGGAGCAGAGGGTTAGCTAAGCAGCTGGGAAGTATGACTTTATCTAAGGCTTTATGGAGATACATCTAAAGGGGAGGGGGGGGGAGGGGAGGGAGAGGAAGCAGAAAACAAATCCAGGTAAGAAGCTAAGGTAAATAGTTCAAGGACAGATGACAAGGGCAGGGACTACAACTAAAAAGACTAATTCCAAAGACACTGAGGAGTGGAGTCAACAGGCCTCAGAGAGTGGTCAAGATGGCGACGGAGAAGGAACTCAAAAGATGACACAGACATTCAGACCAGAGAAGACAGAGTAACAAGACTGAACCAAAGTAAGTGATTCTAAGAGAAACAGGCTTAGCAAAGCAAGGAAAGTGGCCTGGTTTGGGACCAGCCGTGTCTGAGGTGCCTGCAGAACACCAGGCAAGGATTTCCAGGTAGGGGGTGGAGACGCAGGTCTGGGAGCCAGGAGAGCGGCTCACTCACGGTGTCCAGATGACAGCTGATGTCATCAAGTGGGGACCACTTAGGAAGACCATCGGAAGATGACAGGGTCAAGGAGGGGATGTCAACCCTGTGCAGTAGGTGGGGCAGAGGAGCCACTGGGCAAGAATGAAGCCGAGGGTGCCACAGACTTAAGAAGAGAGAATGTGGCCGGTGCACCAGAGGTTACAATGAAACCCAGAAGAGGACGGAGAGGCTGCAGAGCCTCAGGGCTTCTGCGAAGTGGAGGAGCCACATACCAAGGCCCCTCTGGGCACCATCTTAATCTCCCAAAGGCCTCTTGCTACCAGAGTCAATTCTTTCATGGTCCCCTCATTTCAATGGGCCTTTGTGTTTCTTTCAAAGACATCAAGAACTGTTGGGAATGTGGCAGTTGACAGAAAAGAGCACATCCTGACTCGTATTCCTAGCCCTCCTCCAAATTATGTTCCTTCCTTTTAATTTTGTTCACAATAGAGTTAGCTTTGAAACATACCACCATTTCTATGCTAATTTCATCTATAAAAGATGGCCTTTGTTTTCAGACAGATGGGCATGCCTCGGGGACAGTCCCCTTCAGGGCCAGAGGGCATCACCTAGTGTTGGGGAAGCCTAGAGGCGCATAGACCCTGAGGTGCCCACCCTCAGGTGCTCAGCACTTTTAAGTCAAGGACAAGGAGGAAGCCGTCCTCAACTACACCAGCCACTAGAACTTCCCTCCAGCTGATTACACAGACTCTCATCTGCTGGATTCACCTGACTGGAATTCAGTTGTGCATATGTTTTTTACATCTCTGATTTTGATAGGGAAAAATTATGTTACAAGATGACCGACAGGACTGATAGGGGAATTCCAGTCCCCGCCCAAAGACTCCCTTTTCCAGGTTCTTCTTCTTGCCCTGCTTGCCACGTGAGCCAAATTACTACTAATGCGAAAGTAACAGACTATAAATTGTCCCCCATGCTTGCGTTTGGGGCTCAGACCTCTGGAAAGTGATTTCCTCTGAGCCCGCCAGTGTGAAATAAACCTCCTGCCTTCCAAGATCTCCGAGTACCACTTTGTTCTTCCACCAAGTAATCCAGACCAGATTCCGTAACAATTTGACTATCAACTCCTTGAGTGCAGAAAATGAGCCCTTACAGCCCTAAAACTCTGCCCTGCCCATGACAAAAAAACAGAGTGATGAATTAATTAACCTTTAAATGTTATAATTTCCTACAGACAGACCTGGGCACTGATGAACCATACCCAATCGTGGATTCCTTTCTTTCATTGAAAGAGCTTTCCTCTGCGTACTGTAAAAAGAAAGTAACCACAGGATCTCTGTGACAGCATGGTTTGCTATCTTAAATACTAAGCAATTAAGAACTGGGATACTGTTCCTCGATGGTAGCTACCAAGTGAGAAGGGCAAGGGTCTTGGTTCAGTACAAGCTATTTCCTGATGGAGACATTAGTCTCCTTCAGAGTGGTTAGGGAGGACAGAGCTATGACTCAACGCAGGAAGTTCAAGAGACACAGCTTTTGATTCAACATAAGGGAGAATTTCCTAACTACGTTTTCCAGAAGGATGCCCAGTAGGGAGCTTCTCTCCTGTGTAGGCATTCAAGTAAAAAGTGAGAACTCTCCTTTCAGGGACACGAAGCAAGGATTCCTAAAGGGTGGGAAGCTAGACTAGAATCATTTTAAGAATTTTAAGTCTAAAGCTCTATGATTCGACCGCACTGCACACTCCTTCAGAATGGGCACCACATACCTCCCGCACCCCGTGTCCAAAACATCTGAATCCTCCTGATGTTTGTCAAAGACAAAGGGAAGGTTGGACAGGCTATACAAACACTTGGGCTAGTGATCGTCCAAGTACGATCCTCTGAAGACAGCCCTGGGTTTGCCTTCACGGCATCTGTTTTCCCTTCCAGCCAGGTATCAGGAAGCTCTTGGGCCGAGCTGCAGAGCCTCAGAAAGCACACAGAGTGATGCTCCTGGCCCCAGACACAGAACTATGAGCAGAGTAAGAAGCCTGGAGAAAATCTCAGCCACTCCAAGCTCTGGCATCTTCCCTGAGCACTTTCGTGTGCACAGCCCAGAAACCCACAGGACAGACTGGCCTGCCATCCAAGCTGCAGACAGCCCAATCACAGCGCTATTGCACTGACCGAAGAAGAGGGTCTTCGCTAAAGCAAGCCTGGGGCTTTCCCTTCAAATACCAGGCCCTTTCCCTTCAAATGCCCATCTGTGCCCTGATGGCTTCTGAGGCCAACCTTCTCAACAGCCCACAGTGCTGCTGGAAACTCTGTCCACTAATTAGGTTTCAGGGAAACTGGGAGGAAAGAGAAGCAGAATGAGTGACCGAAAGGAAAAACTAAAAACAACCGCTCTTCCTGGGGGTCCTCAACCATCATTCCAACACCAACAGTGATAATCACCACCTTGTGCCTCTCTGGAAACAGGGTCTTCCTACCTAGGCTGCGCTCCGGCAGGCTCTGCATTTAGTTGTTCTTTCCTGCTGTGTTCCCAGCACAGGACTCAGAGGCTAAGCCCTGTAATTAAAAATGCATCTATTTCTGGTTTTGCCCTTACAGTGAATCTCCGCGAGTGCTCCCAATGCTGTGAGGACCCCGGGCTGGATGTTCTTGCCGGCACAGGGCGGCCACATCCTACGGCACAGTTCACGTCTCCACCCAAAACAGGGTCATCCTCACTGCAAAGTGAGGTCGTCACCTCATCCGACAGTCCTCTCCCCAGACCTGCTGACAGACAGCCAAGCAGTGCAGCCGATGCGGAGGCAAGACCTTAGAGACACAAGCCACTCAATGTGAAGGCACAGCTTCCAGGCAGCCCGTGTATCTCTTGGTCCTAGTTGTCAACAACAGCTGGGGAGCTGGTGATGAATACAGCAAGTATCCACCAAAATCTGGGTGTTCAAACTGGCAATTCCAGTTTGACATACGCCTGATAAATGACACGTAATAATTATAGAACCATTTAGAATATTCAAGGGACTGAAGGAGTTTTGAGTTCCAGAAAGGAAACAGCTTTTGATGTTTCCTTTCTCAGTCATCAGAATCCTTTTGGCCGCAAAGGTGAAGAATCAACCCCTGTGCAGGGAAACTGAGTCACCAGGAAATTGACTTTGTTTTTCAAAACAGAAATGTGCAGTGAAATTAAGAAAGAGATGTTTGTGGGGCGCCTGGGTGGCTCAGTCGGCTGAGCCTCCCACCCTTGATTTTGGCTCAGGTCACAAAGCCAGGGTCATGGGACTGAGCCCTGATTAAGATTCTCTCCCTGTCTGTCTGTCTCCCTCTGCCCTGCTGCCCTGCTCTCTCTCTAAAATAAATTAAAACACACACACACACACACACACACACACACACCCCCCACAAAGATATTCATGTGAAAACTAAACTGTCCTCAGCTGGCTCTGTATAACTCCCGGACACGTCTGCCACAGGGCTTCATTAGGGAGAAGAAAGAACTAGTTATTTCCCAGGAGGGGCTGAGCAGTGCCCCAATGTTCAGACTGCACCTAATGCCAAGGTCAGAAGCAAGCTTAGACCTGAGCAGTGACTTAGAGCCAAGGCCACGAGACAGCACGCTTGTTTCCCAGCTTCTAGGGTCCGACCAGGGTGGGAGTGAGGCCGCCATCTTCAGGCAGCCCGTTCGTTTCTGGCTCTCATCTTTTCCCGCCAGGAAAGGCATTCAGAGCTCACTGAACCAAGTCTGGTCTTGACTCCAGGAAGCTCCAGACCCCTTCAGTGCAAGCTCCACATAAACGTGCTGGGGCAGATTCTGTCTGTGAACATTTGCCCCATCAAACCCAATGCTCCCTGCTGGGTACCGCCAGGAAATCAGACGCACCGACTACTCTGAAAGCCTGACTAGCGAAAAAGTCTGCCTTACTTGAGAGGTAAACATGAAATGGGCCAACCAGGAGCATTAACTGTTATATGGAACCAAACAGCAATGCTCCGGTAGTCAGGCAGGGTTTATCTTCCTCCCTTTTCTATTCATAAGAGCCCCTGATTGTCCAGGACAGAGCCAGGTGCTCAGACTTTGATAAGATCACTCCCACCACAGATGCCCCCTTGCCTCCAGAAAGGAAGCTAGTGCCCTGTGGCTCTGCTAAAACAGCCCGTTGCTCCTGCCCCCTCACCTCTTCTGTTCTACCGCAAGCATTTCCAGTGCTGACCGTGGAGGAGCATCACGAAATCACTGCCTACCGCAGTTCATCTTGCTGAACAGTTTCCTGACCGTGGCTCTCAGCTTACGCCCTAAGAACGAAGGCCACCACACACTCTATTATTCCCACTGTCCACCTGGGGAAATACTAGCCACCTCTGAGTCCCAGGTCCAGGGCCACCCCCGCTGTGCCTACTGCAACCACCTGACACCCTACGTTACAGCAGGTGTTAGCTTAGGCAACTCCCCCCCTTTTGGACTGTAAGCTCCTCCAAGGCAGGGCCCGTGTCCTCTCTATCGTCTCCCTAAAGCTTCGCACAGTGCCTGGCATACACGGGGGTCACTGCTGGCCAGTGAGTCAGCAGCGGGGAAGCAATTCTGTCCCTTCCCCTCTCCTTCCTTCTGGAAGCCACCTACCTTATGGAGCTTGTCGGCATTGTCGTAGTAACCCTGAAGCTCCTGGTGCAGCACGCGGTTCTCCTCAGTCAGGATCTCCACCATCTGCTGGGCTCGCTCCACGATGGCGAACGCGTCGGGCCCGAGCTGCTGGCTGGGGGAGGCGGCGGGCGGGGGCTGCGGGGCCGCCAGGGTCATGGGAAGCGCGAGCGGCACGGACACGGAGTGCAGCGGCCCGCCGGCGGACGGGTTCTGGGAGGACATAGGGCTGTGCGGCTGCACTGTCGACGGGAAAGGGAGCTGGCAGGGGCGGCTGCAAGGGAAGCGGACACCGGTCATCACACCCCAGAGAAACAGGGGGGAGGGGGAGTCGCAGCAAGACGCGTCCTAGCCACTGGCCTGGGCTACCAGAGGCCATTGGTGCAGTCTCCGTGCTGGTGACAGTAGGGTGGGTTAGGTCCTTCACCAGCAGGCATTTAATGTGTTCTCCCTCTGAACAGCACTGTGCTGGTTGCGCGGGATACAAAGTCCCTGCTCTCGAAAGGCTTACATGCTCGGGGACAGAAGCTGAACAGCCAGGTATTGCAGAGTTGTGTGACCATAAGTGACCTCGAGGCTAGTTTGTACTGAGAGGTCAGGGAGGGAGACATGGGTGCTTGAGTTGAAGTCTGAATGAAGGAAAAGAAGGACCCTGGGGAAAGGAGGAGGAAAAGGAATATCCCAGGTAAGGAATCAGCTAGGGCTCGGGACCCAAGTCAGGATTCAGCACAAGCACCAATGAGGACGAGAGAGAGAAACAGAGAGAGACAGAGAGAATGTGTGTGTGAAGTTATGGAGCACAGTCAGCACAGTCAGCAAAAGCAGTGCCAGATATGACCAGAGCCATGAGTAAAGGGCCTTTCTAAGTCAAGGCCAGCCCTTGGTGTAGACCATGGCCGTGGAGGAGCTGCCCCACTGACAGCCCGCAGACAGGATGCACAGTGGCAAGAATGCATGAACGGTGCCCCCAGGGAGGCCTGAGCGTGGTCTAGGTGAGAACCATCAAGTCTCACAGGGCAACAGCAGAAGAGAAACCATGGATGGATTTGGGGTATGTCTGGACATGTCACAGACAGAAAGAAGGTGAGGAAAATTTAAATTACTCCTGGGGGCATCTGGGTGACTCAGTCGGTTAAGCATCTGGCCCTTGATTTTGGCTCAGGTCATGATCACATAGTTTGTGGGTTCGAGGCCTGCATGGGACTCCTGGCTGACAGCATGGAGCCTCTCTCTCTCCTTCTCTCTCTCTGCCCCTTCCCTTCTTGTGCCATCTCTCACTCTCAACATAAACAAAGATTAAAAAAATAAATCCTAGATTAGGGGCTTTACCCAAATGGACAGAGGTACCATCCAATGAACTGACAACTCTTGGGGGGAAGAGACGAACCTTTTGTTTTGATTGACTAGGATGAGGAGGTCTCGGGGTCTTAGCCACGTTATAAAGATGGCTCAAAGCCAGGGCACTAGCTCCTCTATCTGAAAATTTGAGCTGCCCTCTGGCTTCACCCCCTAACAATCCCCTCCTCACTGTTCTGTTCCCCAGTCCATAAGAATTCATCGTATTTTCTCTCAGCCTGAGCCAAGGGCTCCTACCAACAACTTGTGTAGGTATAATCACAAAAGACAGTCTTGGTGGCTAGTTCTCCAAGCACATCTGCCTCTCCTCTGCAGACTCAGGTGGACAAGTTTTCTTGTTGAGCTCCCTAACCTTTAGGATGCAGTCTGGGAACTGGAGTGAGAAGAATGGTCACCAACCCTACATCACCCACATTCTGTATCACAGGGCAGGGGCCTCTGGAAATCCTGCTACTTCCAACCCTTGACACATATCCCTTGTCACCTCCCCTTACTCCTGGCCAGCTGGAGTCAAAGCCCCCACTTTCCGCAGGAGGCCGCATGGCCTTCTATTTTCCTTCTAAGTACACTTGCTGGAATGTTTTTGGGCCCCGTCAGGTTCTGTATTGCTTATTTTGTAAGTGTGCCTTGTAGTCAGGAGTCCTCTGAACGCTGACTCCTGGCACCTATGTGTTAAACTCTAGAAGAAAATTTGAGAAGGGTCACCTTAGCCCTCCCTACATGGATATGCAGACATTCATAGAGATGACCTCAGGAGAAATTCAACAGAGCCCAACAACATGACCTACCACAAGCCTTGGTTTGTGAACAAACACAGAGCTTCGCACCTAGGCTCAGAAGGGATCGCCCAACTAGGTTTCCGTACGGCTTCAGTCAGGAAGCCCCTTCCACTTCCTGTTGAAACAGCTGCGATCTAAGTTCCCCAGGCCTGCTGGAGAACCATGGAGCTCAGTCTGATTCTTTATTCCTTAAGTGGGCTCCACCTTCCAACCATCGTCAGGGGCGAGACGTAAACCATCCCTCCCCCTCCCTCTCCATACCTGTTACATCACTACCTGCCCATCTCTTGGGAAATAAAACACTTCTGCATTTTGATGAATTTGTGCCCCTTCCACACTGAAGCGTGTACATGACTGTGTCGTCCTGTGTGGATGAGGTCCAACTCCACGGCAAGAATGAAAAGGCCCTGAGTGCCATTCACAAGGCCCAGCTTTCACCCCAGATTACAGGAACTCCTAACAGGTATGGATTCCCCCCCACCAAACCCCAGATCTGTGACTGAATAAGGCATTCCTGCAGGCTGGCTGAATCCTACAGTGCGCTTTTCATGGAAAAAGTTTGCCTGGGCAAGAGGCAAAACACCACACGTTACACCTGCCTCGACTCAAAGGCAGACACCTGTTCCCAGCTCCAAGTACTCCCTTCACACTTTGTCCAAGGCAAGGGACAAATGTGGCGTGTCTCTTTGGAGCTGAAGTGGGTACAGAGGAGCCTGCAGCCTTCTCTCCAAACCATGGGGCTTCCCTTTGACCCAGACAGCTTTGAACTGGGGCTCTGTCTCTTAACATGTATCAAACTCTGGGATTTGAGACTCACTCTGGTCAAGGGTGGGCTTATCTTCTCATCTTTCTCTGATATACAACAAAAAGGAAGTGTTTTCTGAGTGCCAGCCTAAGTTATCTATGATGGTGACTAGTAACCTGAGTGGCAATTCAGGACAAGAGTGTTTGCCAAAGTTAAGCGACAGAAAAGAACTTACTTTTCCAAAATGGGAACTCTGCTACTAAAGAGAACATTGGCCTCATAAATAACTCAGCAACACATTACAATGGATGAGGTGCAGGCAGGTCAGCAAACTTCTATTCCTTAGCTCCACTACTCAGCCAACGGGTTGGTGAGCTCAAAGATCTGTACAAGGCAGATGTGGGCTTAGTGCAAATAAGGGGGAACAAATGTTGGGACAGAACAGGAAAATTTCACATGAGATCATACCAGAAATGACCTATCCTTAGCTTACAAAGATAATGCAGTTGATTGGCCATGACCCTAGCAATGGGGACACAGAGGAAAGGGGAAAAGACAAGATGGGAGCCAACAGTTATGGAGAAATACCTGCGAACAGAATGCTATGTGACGGTGATCCACTTGTGAGCCTACTTCCCCTGTAGGCTGTGAAGTCAGAGAGCCAGCTGATTTGACACCATGTGTCTTGGTTTCCTGGGACAATGCATGACTTAGTTCACTGCTAAAGGACTTAAGGAGTTAACAGTATGTCTAAAGCCTGGCACAAAGCAAGCACTGGTCGAATAGTTACCTATTATCACCATTACTAGTATCACCTGAATCCCACAGCCCCTAATACAAATCCCAGAACCAAACATGGCATGCATAAGTCTCAATTTTTTCTGCGATGGCTAACATTTATTGATCATTTTTTTTGCATTTTTTGTATTTATAACTGCCTTATAAAATAGGTATCAATGTCAGACTACTTAGATGAGAAAAACCGCGCAGGATGGTAACTTATAGAATATAACAGAGATAACAGGAACATAAAGGAGAGCCATGCCCTGGCTTTTTGTTTCCAGAGTCCATGCAGTTCACTATTTCCCTATACTGGTGAGAGCAGGGAGGGAAGGCAGCCACCCTTGGGTTCTTTGCTCCTGGGTTCCTGTGGCCCCGTCAGAGCAACCACACTATGGGGTGTCCATGATTCACACCCTAACACAAAAGCATCAAAGCGTCTGCAGGCTCAAGCAGCCTAGGGGAAGCAGGAAGGCTGGAAATCTGACTCTGAGTTGTTCTCTTGGACTGTTACTTACACTCAACTTTATTAGCTTTCACGGGCTAATGTTCTGACTACAGAGAACATTAAAGTAGCACTTATTGGGGGTCTATGCTATCTGAGAGGCACCACATTTCATCACCTTACTTGATGCTCAAAACCCAAGGCAGGTACCACCAACAGGTCCCGCTCCTTTCTGAAGGAATGCAACAGCCTTGGAAAGTGACCTTTTTCCATCTGCTACTGAAATCACCAGTTACTTAAATAGGTCTGAGCAAAGTTGAAAAAGCCTCTTCTCCCTAAGTCCACATCGAGGTATTAAAAAAGAAGAAGAAAAAAAAGAATCATAGCATTTAAAGAGTAACATCATGACAAAATAGGGGTCACATAGAGAAGCCTGGTAGACTGGTCCTCCTTCATCGATGACTCTAGACCACACTGCACGTAGCCTCACCCCAGAATCTGCACCCATTCCTTTCCTCCAAACTTACAACCTGCCTAAATCCCAATCCTGGCAACATACAATCACTGGACTACATCATGTCTTTTGTTCTCCCAAATTTTTATTTAAATGTAATATTATTTAATTTTTCATCCATGAGTCTTTCCTCCCAAATTGTTAGCGTGCATGTTTTTTGAGGGTAGAAAGTTATGACTTCTACTAAGTCGGTGCTCCATACATTTATGTCAACTGATTTGGTCCCCAGGCCCAGGAGCAAGCTGGGAGACCATACATGCTTCATGTTGCTTTCAAATAATGGCTGAACCTACAACATTACATTATTAAAGAAGAGACCTCTGGTGTTTAGATTGGCTCTGGGTAACTGGTACTGGATAGAATCTCAAATCACGAGATTGCCAATATAATAAATAACACGGCTCTGTGCCACTGCCTTTCTTACATAGTTGGAGTCACAAAATGCAGCTCAAAATGGGAGTGACAACATTATTTGGATTGGGGAAAGAAGGTCACTGGTGACATCTAACCAACAGTCCATTCGTTCCTCTGTGCACAGAGCAAATCTTCACAGACAAGCTTATTTTAACTTTCATATTTAAGTTACACTTGAACGTAAATACGCCACATTAGCATTTTATGTCAACTGTATCGCTCAATTCTTACAATCTTGGGC